AATAAGAGGGGTCAAATGGGGGTTGTGGAGGTCCCTATGACATGGGGTACCAATGGTTCTGAGGTAGGTAATGAGATGGGCCTTGGTTCCAGACTGGTCTGGGTCCCTTGTCTAGGAAGGCGTGCCCTGGAGGAAGAGATGTCAGTTCCTCGGGTGATTCAGTCTCCCAAGAAAGAAAATGCCGATTCTCAATCCATTGGCCGAACCGACTGTTCCACTGGAGGGAAACTGTACCTGGACAATGGAATGGGAGACAGAGTCCTCGCACAAACTGCATCTCCTGGTGGAGTCAACACCTCCCTCATGAGGGAAGGACCTTATGGTGATGGGAGATTGTGGATCAGGGAGACCAAAAATGTCAGATGTACCGCAAGATTCTGCTCGCCCTGGAATATGAGCCGGACCGTCTGCCTGAACCAATGGAGCCGGAGGAGTTAGCTTGTGCCACAGTTGGGTGAGGCAGAGACAGTACTGTTGGTGGTCAGGGCTCTCTATGGTTGCCTTTTGCCAGTGCCATCAGTTCAGGCTTAGTTGGTACCAGAGGCACGGTTGCCGGCAGAGAGTGGTCTGGTGCCAATGGAGCCCTGGGTTTGTGGCCCTTCCTAACATGCCCCCGAGACTGCTCATGCCACGGGCTGAGCAGAAGGACTTGCTTGACTTCGGCAGGGTTCTATCTGGCTGCTCTGAAGTGGATTTAGAGGAGGATTTGCTCTCGTGCTTATGAGAGCACTCCCGGCCCACCCAACAAGACCCCAGCAGGGGGTCTGTAGGAGTTCATTCCCTCGCTCCGAAGTCGGACTTTACGGCAGGAGGCGCACTCCTTGCGGAGTCGGGCCAACGTCTGGGGTGTCCCCCAGCTGCGGCCTGACTGCAGTCTCAGGACCTTCTCCATTAAGTGATGCTTGAGAGGAAGTTTCTGCTCCTCACAGGTATGACGAGGGAAAGAGCGGCAGATAGCGAACCTTGCTGCAACAGGAGCTTCCCCTGAGGAGACTAAGACATGTCTGCCTGTGACAATGGACGCTGCTCAGTGAATGGTGGGACTTTCTATTCCCCCCTTGGCTGGACAAAGACACTCCTTCTGAGATAGTATCAGGGGGTAGCCGTGTTAGTCTGTATCTACAAAAACAACAAGGAGTCTGGTGGCACCTTAAAGACTAACATCTTTATACCCTGACACAAACCAGTTAGTACTGCCCCTCTGACAGAGTGAGTTACTGCCCCCTGACGTGGCTAGTTATCACCCATCACCTTCTACATGTTGGCTTAATTAAAACATTTTTATTACATACTGTTATCCTGAGCTTATCTTTTAGGAGGGGTCAGTGTGTTCCTGTTATCCTTGGGGGATGTTTTTGTACCATCCTTGATATCGCTCTGTGTGTAGCACTTCTTAGGAATGTGTATTTCTGCAATATCAGCCCTGTTCTTGCCAGATTCAGTGAGCAGGTCCTGCCTCATACGAGGCCTCTGATACAAGGGCTTATGTCTCAGGCTCTCTTCCTACTACAAGAAGGAACTGGAGAGGCGGTTGCTCTGTTTCACCCTTTATCTCCTGGGTTGGAGGCACAGGACAGCGAGGGCGCATGTGCAGACCATCGGACACTGCTTTCAAGAACTCTGACTCTGGGCACCTGGATACATGCATACCCACAGTGGAACAACATTGGGCCGAGCGCACTTGAAGAATATATTGTTTTTACAGACCTTTGTAAATGAGAACCTCTGGCTGGTTCAGGGTTTTTAAGTTGATCTAGAGAGATCAGCAGGCCCCACCCAGCCCCCAGCAGGACAGGCTTACCCAGGAGCTCCCAGCACAGTCTGCATTAGTCCCCGCCTTTCTTACCTAAATATGACAGCCAGTCGATCTAGGGGCACAGTGGGGTCTGAAGACAGGCCATTGCTTGGCTCCTGAGACAGCAGCTGGAGAAATAAGCAAAAATCAGCTGAGATTTCAGTGACCCTAAGGAGCTCCGTTCTGAATGGCCATTGCCCCGAGAACACAAAGTAAACTCTGCCTCTTTCACACCTCACAAGAAACGCTCATGCCTCAGCCTCCCCTTGTTCTGGCCAACGCAGAGCAGACGCCTCTTCTGTTCCTAGACCGAGGCAGCAGGCCAGAAGTGGGGAGTATCACGCTATGAGTCTGAAGGGAGAGATCTGAGTGGTGACGAGTCTCAGCTGCAAGGAGAGCCGTACCAGGAAGAGACAAACTGATCAGCTGGCGAGCGTTCCTCTCAAGTTACTAACTTCTGCACATCAACCTGCACACCAGACTTAACTCTGTCTCCCTGTCTGTTGTGGAATCTTTCAGCCCACCTGGATCC